ATCAATTGGCTGCCTCCTGCACACCCCCTACTGGGGATCGAGCCTGCGACCTGGGCATGTGCCCTGACCGGGAATTGAACCAGGACCTCTCAGTCCATGGGACGATGCTCAATCCACTGAGCCACACCGGCCAGGCCATATTTCTCCTATATATTAAAAGCAGTTCTAAATGATGTTAAATCTCTTAGCGATTCCACTCCAATCCAATATGTAGATGATTTACTTTTATGCTCTAGGACACTACTAGACTCCCAAAAGGACACAATTTACCTATTACAATAGCTATCTATAAAAGGACATAAGGTCTCAAAGGATAAGCTTCAATTTTGCTTACCTCAGTAAAATACCTTGATCATCTCATATCTAAACATGGACTACTGATTAGCCCTGAAAGACTCAGAGAAATCCTATCTTTCCCTCTTCCAAAAATAAGAAAGCAGCTTAGAGGATTCCTGGGTTTGACTGGATATTGTTGAAATTGGGTTTCAAATTTTTCATTAGTAGCCCAGATGGTATATGCCCTTTTAAAGTCAGATCAACCTAATCCAATTCAATGGATCCCTAAAGGGAAACAAGCTGTAGAGGCTCTAAAAGAAGTACTGTCTAAGCTCCTGCCCTGAAACATCCAAATTATAAACTTCCCTTCTTCCTTTTCATACATGAAAGTACAATGCTTTAGGAGTTCCTTCCCTATATGAGAGTGATCTCTGCTACCGCCTTATATAAACAGACAGAAGAGATAGTCTGGGCTCTCCTTGAACTATTTATGTTCTTCATTCTGTTGAATCTTTGCTGAACTCTCATTACACTCAACACTTCTCTGTTAGTCAATTGGCTTCTTTTCTTTATCCTTATCCAAGGACATTTTTGCATTTATCTTCAGATAGAGTGGGAGGGAGAAAGAGAGGAAGAGAGAGAGAGAAACATTGATGTGAGAGAGACACATCGAGTGGCTGCCACCCACATGACCCCAATGGGGGCCGGGGACAAACCACAACCGAGGTACACGGCCCCACTGGGAACCGAACCCGGGACTCTAGTCCGCGGGTAGATGCTCTAACCACTGAGCAAAACCAGCCAGGGCTCAATTGGCTTCTTATAAAGTATTCCTGTTCTTTGCACCTAATATAACTTTAACACAGTGTGATTGTCTTAACCCTGCAACTTGATTACCCTTACCCTCTTTACAGGATGAAGACACCCACAGTTGTGTTTTGCTTACTGACCACCTTTTTGTTCCTAGGAATGATATACTAGAAACTCCTATTGATAATGCTGACTGAATTTGGTTAACAGATGGACTTTATCAGAAAGATGAACAGGGACATTACCAAGCTGGATATGCAGTAACTTCAATGGTGGACATAACTGAAAGTTCTTATCTACCTGAAATAAGATCTGTCCAGCAAGCTGAACTAATTGTTCTATTAGTACAAAAATTACAAAACAATGCTGACAAAAATTGAGAAGTACCATAGAAGTGGAACAATATACTCTGTTCATTAACTGGATGTCACAGTATTATTTACATGTAAATTCTCCACAAACTGATATAGATTCAACTCCATCTCAATCAAAATCCCAGCAGTCTTTTTGTGCGAAAATTACCAGATTAATTCTAAACCATATGGAAATGCAAAGAATCTCAAATAACTGAAGCAAATTTTTTTCTTTTTTTTTTATCCTTACCCGAGGACATTTTTCCATTTTTTGTTCAGATAGAGTGGGAGGGAGAGAGAAAGAGAAACATCGATGTGAAAGGGACACACTGAGTGGCTGCCACCCACTCAACCCAACCAGGGCCGGGGACAAACTGCAACTGAGGTATGTGCCCTTAGTGGGAACCGAACCTGGGTCTCTCTGGACCGTAGTCCGATGCTCTAACCGCTGAGCCAAACTGGCCAGGGCACTGAAGCAAATTTTTAAAAAGAAAAGAAAAATGTTAGAGGATTGATACTAAGTTCTAGCTTTATTATAAAGCCGCAATAATCAAGACTGTATGGTACCGGCATCAAGATATACAAAGAGTAGAGTGAGAAAAAAAAAAAAAAAAAAAATAGTTCAGATATATATCCACATACATATGGTCAACTGATTTACCACAAAGGTACATAGATAATTCAATAAAGAAAGGGTTGCCTTACCAATAAATGGTGCTGGATAAAATGGATACTTGTAGGTCAAAAAAAAAAAAAAAAAAAAGACTTAAATTCAGAGCCTGGTACCTAGTATAAAAATGTATTCAAAATGTAAAATAAAATTATTAAACCTTTAAAAAGAAAAAAAATATATATGAAAATCCTTTTGACCTTAGTTTAGGCAAAGATTGCTTAAATATACCACCAAAAATTAGATTTATGAGAGAAAAAATTGAAACTTAAACTTCTAAATTAAGAAGTGCTCTGCGAAAGACACTGCTAAGAATAAAATGCAAGCCACTACGAAAATATTTGTAAATCAAATATCTGATCATGGACTTCTATACAGAATATATGGAGAATTTTCAGAACAATAATAAAAAGATAAGGAACCAACTTTTTAACTGGGTAAGAGATTTCAGAAAACATTTCACCAAAGAAAATCCACAGGTGGCAAATAAGCACATGAAAGGATCCTCAACATCCTCAGTCACTGGGAAAATGTGAAGTAAAACACAGTGAGATGCCACTGCGCAGCTAGGAGAACGTCTAAAACTAAGATAACACCAAGTTGACAAAGATGCCGAGCATCTGGAACTCTGGACACTGCTGCTGAGAATGTGAAAAGGTGCAGCCAGTTAAGAAACAGTTTGTGAGGTAAAATGTTAAATATACATAGTATCATACAACTCAGCCTTCCAGTTGCAAGTATTTATCCAAAAGGAATTAAAGCATATGTCCCCACAAAGACTTGTTATGAATATACACACAGGCTTTATTTCTATTTCTCAGAACTGGAGACAACCCAAAGTCTTTCAATGGAATATTTAAACAAATTGTGATATTAATATAATGAAATACAACTCATCAATAAAAAGAAGTGAAATACTGCCCGGCCGGTATAGCTCAGCAGTTGGAGCATCGGCCTGCAGATCAAAGAGTCCCGGGTTCGGTTTCCGCTAGGGGCACGTACCAAAAAAAAAGGAAGTGAAATACTGATATATGCAACACTATGGATGAAATTCAAAGTAATTATGTTGAGTGAGAGAATCCACTATGTATTCTGTATGATTAAATCCTATAAATTCCAGAAAATACAAACAAATCTATAATGATAGGAAGCAGATTAGTGGTGTCCTGGGTAAGGGGGAAGGGGAGCACAGTAAGGCACAAGGAAACTTTGGGGTGACAGGTATGCTTGATTTTTTTTGAATTGTGGTGATGGTTTCATGGTTGTATACGTGCATCAGAACTTAACCAAATTTAACACTTTAAATATTTGGAGTTTATTACACTTTGATAACATACCTTATAATTTTCACTTAACTATGTACCATAATAACATACTTGTAAATTATACCATAATTATAGCTTATAGCTTATAGTTGTTTTTTAAATTAGGCCAAAACCAGTGAATTTGCTGTAAAGTACAAGTCCAGATGTATGGTTGTATTTAGAAGCAAATAATAAACAAACAAACAAACAAAAATTAAATGCCAGAAATGTTGAAAATAAAACAATGAACGAAGGTAAATCAAGAAAACATTTATACTTAGCTCCCAACGTTCACATAAATTTAATACTTGTTGGATTAAAGTCCTACAGTGTAATAGTATATTGAATTTGTACAAATCCGTAACAGAAAGAAACAGCCCAAATAAAAAGGAGGGAAACACCTTGAACAGTCACATCACAGAAGAGGAAATGCCAATGGCTAATCAACATAGGAAAAGATGCTCATGCTCACAGGAAGGCAAAGCCCCCTTGAGACTGCAACGCAGACCGAACACATGGGTAAAACACAGGCCTGACAGCATCCAGTGTCGGTGAGGCTGTGGAACAAGAGCTCCCATCCCTGCTGCTGGAGTGGGAAGTGGCAGAATAGCTTCAGACCACAATGTGGCACAACCATCAGGTTGAGGCCACTCAGGTCTGTGAACCAGCTACCTTGCTCGCTCCTATGCAGACATCTGGAGAAACTGTTGGACATGTTTCCAAGGAAGTAACAAGAATGTATAGCAACATTATTTAATAGTCAAATTTATCAGAAGTAACTTAAATCTCCAAAGGAAGGAACTGATACTCTAACTGCATTAAAATAGAAATATTTGTATAAAGGAATCATGTAACAGTTTTAAAAAGTATAAGGGATCCTACACATTATAATGTGAATCTCAGAGAAAGTGAGTGAAAACGCATGTTCCAGAAGGATGTGCAACATTATGATACAATGTGCAGAGAACTTTACAAACAGGCAAAACAATGCTCTATATGTTTAAGGACCATGAAATGGAAAAAAAGGATGAAGGTAGTTATGGGGATGCTGATGCAGAAACTGGATTCTCAGGTGGAGGAGCAAAATACAACCAGGGAAGCTACAGGGCTGTCACCTGGACTTACAGTGTTCATTAGGCACATTGGCACTCACTGCATAATTCTTTATACCCTGTAGTAATCTTAAATAATCCATCATAAAATAAAAGAAACAAAGCTATGAAAATGTATGAGCTAGAAGCAATGCACAAAAATGTTACCAGGTTAAGAACAGAAACAGGACAGTACCTATAGGGGCAGACGACTTAGGCTCAGAGGGCAAGTACTATGTTGAAGATCAGGCCCACCATGAAAAGCCCAAAACAGGGAGATTCTAGATGTGCTGGAGAAGAACTGCCATGTGAGCAGAGTGAGGGTCCCTGGAGGAGGGCAGTGTGCCAGGGAGGCCCTCTCTGAGGTGCGCAGGAGGGCATGGAAGAAAGGACTGAAGAACAGCTTCCCCCCAGGGGCTCACAGAGGTTTCTCCTTCCTCACCTGCTGAGCACCTCACTGGCCTGTCACCTTGTCTGCCTGGTGCTTCCCACTCACCTGGACACAGGTCCAAACATTCGCTCTCCTCACTCCAGGGCTCGTCCCCTTGCTCCAGTTGTGTGATGAGTTTTGGTTTGGAAAAGGTGATTCCTACTCACAAGAAAAGAAACCAAGGTGACCTTGGGTTAGTGGATTAAAAGGCCATCACAGCCCTGGCCCATTTGGCTCAGCGGTTAGAGCGTCGACCTGCGGTCCAGAGAGACCCGGGTTCTGTTCCCACTAAGGGCACATATCTCGGTTGCAGTTTGCCCCGGCCCTGGTTGGTCATGCGGGTGGCAGCCACTCGATGTGTTCCTTTCACATCAATGTTTCTCTCTCTCTCTGTTCCTCTTTCTCCCTCCTACTCTACCTGAACAAAAAATGGAAAAATGTCCTCGGGTGAGGAAAATAAATAAATAAATGGCCATCACAGAACTCAGAGTGAGCTGGGGAATGCAATAACCCAGAGGGGCAAGGAAGCACACAGGGGGGCAAAGGCTCTCTGAGTGCTAACAAAGAGCGACTACGGGAGCAGGAATCCTGGACCTGAAGGCAGTCCACTGATTCTCCCCTGAGTTTGAGTGAACATAAATATTCTCCTATTTATCTTCAGACAGAGTGGGAGGGAGAGAGAAGAAGAGAGAGAAACATCGATGTGAGAGAGACACATCGACTGGTTGCCACCCACATGACCCCATCCGGGGCCGGGGACAAACTGCAACCGAGGTACGTGCCCTTAGGGGGAACCAAACTCGGGCCTCTCTGGTTCGTGGGCAGATGCTCTAACTGCTGAGCCAAATCAGCCAGGGCAAGAATTTCACTATTTTCAAATCTATAGAATCCAAACATTTTCTGGGTAATATAGGGAAAATATTTTTCTTTCTCGGCCAAAAGCATGGTGGCTGCTGCACAGATCTTGAAATGCCCACAGGCAGAGTCCAAGACCTGAGAAGGGCTGTCCTTACCCAGTGACACCAAGTGGCTGTAGGTCTCCAGCATTACATCTTGATACAGGGTCCTCTGGGCAAGACTCAGTAGCTTCCACTCCTTCTCCGTGAAGGCCACAGCTACATCTCTGAAGGCCATCAATGCCTGTAACAGAAACACATCCTGCTCACCCAGGAGCCAGCCACACCCACTACTCAACTTTACCTAAGCCACTAACCAGTGCTGAGGCAGCAAGGATCCATAAATCCTGCTTCTAACCTAAATCCTGATAGCATGTGTTCAACACCATAAATCCCCTGCCCATATTGCTGGTAAGTTTATTTAGAAGATCTCTATTCTACTCTGTTGATCTCTATGTCTACGGCACTGGCAAGAACAGTTTTGATGACTGTAGCAGTACAGCAGGCCTTGAAATCAGGTAGACTGATTCCGCCCACTTCAGCCTTCATTTTAAAGGTATTTTAGCTATTCTAGGGCATGTGCCTTTCCATATAAATTTTAGAATACTCTTGTCCATAGCAACCAAAGGAAAAAAAAAAACTGCTGGAATTTTGACAAGATCTGCATTAAACCTGTATATCAATTGGGGGAGAATTGACATCTTTACTATGTTGACTCTTCAAATCCATGAAGAAAGACATTGATATGTCTCTCCATTTACTGAGATGTTCTTTGGCTTCTTTCACCAGCACTTAGGAGTTTTCAGCATACAAGGCCCATAAATATTTTGTTAAGAATTTCTTCTTTTTAAATTTATTTTCAGTATCAGTAACCATATGTTCATGCTATGATACAAAAGTACAATTTTTCGTATGTTGATCTTGAATCCTGCAACCTGGCTGAACACATTAGCTCTTGGAGTAATTTTTCTCCTAGGTTACTTGAGATTTTTCTACATAGATAATCATGGCATTTGCATATAGGGACAAGTTTATTTCTTCCCCTAGAATCTGTATACATTTTATTTTCTCTTCTTGCCTTTACTGTAGCACTTCCAGCACAATAATGAGTAAGAGTGGTAAGAGCAGGCATCCTTGACTTTTTCTTCTTCTTTTATCTTTACTGTTGAAAGTATTGCAGATGTCGCCCCGCTTTTCTCCCCCATTGACACCCTCCTCCCCACTCCCATCCCCCTCCTGCCATCCCCACACTATTGTCTGTGTCCATTGGTTATGCATTTTGCATATAAGTTCTTTGGTTTATCTCTTCCCACCCTCCTTCCCTCTGAGGTTCATCAGTCTTAAGAACCAATCTGTCTTTTTTTTTTTTTTTTGGTTAATCCTCACTCGAGAATATTTTTCCATTGATTTTTTACATAGAGTGGAATGGAGCGAGGGAGAGAGAGAGAAAACCATCGATGTAGAACGACACATGATTGGTTACCTTCCACAAGGGGATGAATCTGCAACTCAGATGTGTGCCCTTGACCAGGAATCGAACCTGAGACCCTTCGGTCCACAGGCTGATGCTCTAACTCCTGAGCCAAACTGGCCAAGGCCAAATTTGTACTTGTTAATCCCATAAACTTTTTTGCCCATCCTTCCAATGCCCCTCCAATCTGGTAACCAACAAAAAGCTCTCTGTATCTATGAGTTTGTTTCTTTTTTGCTTGTTCATTTGGTTTGTAGATTCAATTGCTGATAGATATGTATTTTATTGTTCATATTTTTGATCTTTAAGAATACCCTTCAACATTTCATATAATACCAGTTTGGTGGTGGCAAACTCCTTTAGCTTTTTCTTCTCTGGGAAGCTCTTTATACATCAGTCAATCCTAAATGACAGCTTTGCAGGACAGAGTAATTTGGTCATAGGTCTTTGCTTTTCATCACTTTGAATATTTCTTGCCACTTCCTTCTAGCCTGCAAAATTTCAGTTGAGAAATCAGATGACAGACTTATGGGAGCTCCCTTGTAGGCAACTAACTGCTTTTCTCTTGCTGCTTTTAAGATTCTCTCTGTCTTTAACCTTTTGCATTTTAATTATGATGTGTCTTTGGTGTGGGCCTCTTTGGATTTATCTTGTTTAAGACTCTCTGTGCTTTCTGGACTTATATGTCTGTTTCCTTCATCAAGTTAGGGAAGTTTTCTGTCATTATTTTTTCAAATAAGTTTTCAATTTTTTGTTCTCTCTCTTCTCCTTATGGCACCACCATGATGCAAATGTTGATACACTTGAAGTTGTCCCAAAGACTCTTTACACTATCCTTTTTTGTGTTTTTTTGTTTTTTTTTTCTGGACTCCTTTTTCTTTATGCTTATGATTGGGTGTCTTTATGCTTACTGATTGGGTGTCTTCTGCTTCCCTATATTTCAAATTGATGATCTGCCTCTCAGCTTCTCCTACTCTACTGTTGATTCCCTGTAAATTATTCTTTATTTCAGTTAGTGCATCCTTCATTTCTGACTGGTCCTTTTATATGCTCTTGAAGTCCTCACTAATTCCTTGATCATCCTTATAAACAGTATTTTGAACTCTGCATCTGTTACATTGATTATCACCATTTTGTTTAGTTCTTTTACTGGAGAATTATTCTGGTCTTTCATTTGGGATATGTTTCTTCGTCTCCTCATTTTGGCTGCCTTTTTGTGTTTGTTTATATGTATTAGGTAGAGGTGCTGTCTTCTCAGCTTTGTAGGATGGCTTATTGTAGTAGGTTTCCTGTAGGGTTTGATGGCATAGCCTCCCTGATCACCCCATCTGGGTACTCAAGGTGCTCCCCCCACCCACCCATGTGGACTGTACACCCTTCAGTTGTAATTGAGTCTTGGCTGCTGTTATCACATCAATGGAAGAGATTTAGTCAGGTTGATCAGCTGGAAGGACTGGCTATGACCAGTGACCTCTGACTACCTTCGAGGATCTGTTGTGCAGGGGCCCACCACACAGAGCAAGACTTACTTCAGCAGGGCTCTGGTACCCACTGAGCCCACTACTTGAGTGTGTCACTTGTAGAGGTTGGGTAGTGGTGCTTTGATGTGGTCTGAAGCTGTCCTCTTGGTGTGTTAACTCTGGGCCCTCCTGGGAGGCACAGGCCAAGGTCAGCCACTGCTTGTGTTCTACCTTGGTCACCAGGCATAAACTATAAAGCTATAGGCTGCTTCCTGTGCTGAGCTTGAAGGTGCCAAGGCAAAGCTAAGCTGTGAACCAAGGCTGGCTGCTGCTAGTGCTGGGCCTGGGGCCACTTAGTGAGAGGTATGGTGTTCCCTGAGGCCAGATGCTGCTTGTTTGAGAGATTTTAGGAAAATACAAAGCATGAGTCCAAACAGGCCATTCCTATGTTAAACCCACTGGAAAAAGCTTGGGTGGGCCCAAAAGTTGGGTGGAGCAGGGCCTCAGAGAATCACCAGGGCAAGGTAAATAGTGTGAGCCACGATGATGGTGTCTGAGATATGGTGCCCATCTGCTCGCCCCATGGGGGAAGAGCTCACCAAAGGAACAATGGCCTCCACCAGCATATCTGTCTGGAAGAAAGCTGCTCTTCCAGCTCTTGCCCTGATGCCAAACAACTTAGTTCTTCCCTGTATGTCTCTGGTGCCTTTCAAACTGCCTCCCCTGCTCTAGAGCCAGAGGGAGTGAGTCCAAGTAAGTCTGTGATGGGTCTTTTAAGAGGAACTGCCTGGGACTCCAGAAGCCTCAGCCTTCCTCAGCCTCAATTACCACAGCCAGAAGTTGTGAGGACTTCTCTTCCCAGCACTGGAACCCTGAGCTTGGGGGCCTGGTGTGGAGCTGGCCTCAGAGCTGAGGTATCCTTCCTGATTTTTATCTGCCACATGTGGTTGTGGGACCAGCCCTTCCATGCCTCTGACCCTCCTATCAGTCTTGATGTGGCTTCTTTAATTTCGTAGTTGTAGGAACTTCCATTCATCTTGATTTCCGATTATTCTGAATGACGGTTGTTCTGTAGTTTAGTTGTAATTTTGATTGTGGTTGTGGGAGGAGGTGAGTACTGCATTTACCTATGCCGCCATCTTGACTTGAAGTTATCCTTGCCTTGTTCTTGATATAATGAGGGAAACTTTATGTCTCCAGCATTAAGAATACTGAGATACCACATCATACTCATTAAGATTTACCATTACCAAAAAAACCCAGAAAAGAACAATTTTGGGCAAGGGAGAAATTGGACCCTTTGTGTATTGCTAGTGAGAAAAGTAAAATTCTGGTTTATGGAAAAGAATTGGACAGTTCTTCAGAAAGTTAAACATACAGCTCACCAGAGGATCCAGCAAAGAACTAAAAGCAGGGACTCAAACAGATAGTTGTACACCAATGTCCATAACAGCATTATTCACATTTACTCAAAGTTGGAAACAACCCAAATGTCTATCAACAGATAAAGAAAGAAAATGTAGTATATACAGACAATCGTATATTATTCAGCCTTAAGAAGAAGGAAATTCTGATACATGGTACTTCACTGATTAGTCTTGAAAACAGCATGCTAAGTGAAATAAGGCAGTCACAAAAGATAAAAAGTGTTTGATTCCACTACAGCAGGTACCTAGAATAGGCGAATTCATAGAGACAGAAAGAAAAATAGAGGTTACCAGTAGCAGGCAAGAATAGGGAAGGGGGAGATATTGTTTTATGAATAGACTTCCACTTTGGGAAGATAAAAAAGTTCTGGAAATGGGGAATAGTGACAATTGTACAACACTATGAATGTACTTAATGCAACTGAACTGTATAGTAATTCTTCATGAAACATTCTCCATAGGTTTTGTGACTTTAAGCAAAATGATGTATAATGAAACCAATTTTACCACAGGCTAATTGATGTAAACCAGAGTTAAGTTCCTACAGTATCTCATTACTATAACAAAATGACAAACAAACACACATTATGCAAGGACCTAATATATATTTAAAAATAGCCCTGGCCGGTTTGGCTCAGCGGTTAGATCGTTGGTCTGTGGTCTGGAGAGACCCGGGTTCGGTTCCCGCTAAGGGCATGTACCTCGGTTGCAGTTTGTCCCCGGCCCTGGTTGGGTCGTGTGGGTGGCAACAACTCGATGTGTCCCTTTCACATCGATGTTTCTCTCTCTCTCTCCCTCCCACTCTATCTGAACAAAATATCAAAAAATGTCCTCAGGTGAGGATAAAAAATAAATAAATAAATAAATAATAATAATTGAAATAGTA